AAAGTCGGGTTTTTTGACAAAAGAAGCTTTGTGTTATATAGGCAGGCCTTGTATTAACACATCGAAGTTGGTTTGACAAAAATTCGTCCATCGAAGCCAGTGTTAAATAGATTTTTCGAATGTGTCGAATATCCAACGTCCAATATAAAACCAAATTTACCACTCCTGTGACAGACAAACTGAAACGCCTTTGTGTCTTGTGGGAACTTCAAAGTACACATTACAGGAAAAGGAGCATACTTTTTACTTTATCTAACATAAGTTAACGTAAAAAAAGAAACTTACCCCAGCTGAGTTGACTGCTTCCTCAAAAGCTGGTCACAAGACCCATCTGTTTGTTTTCTCATCTCTCTTCTTTGTCTTCTTTGATTTAATGGCCGACTGCAAAGTTGAAGGTGCATTTCGCCACCTATAGTACAGGAGTTTAACTGCAGCACTCTGTGCAAAATATAAATATACAAAACATCTAAATCATGAACTCATAAAGATTTTTTCTCGAAAATATTCGGATTCATTTTTGATGCTCTCCTCTCCTCCCTCCCTCCTACAGTTGTCCCTCTTTAGCAGTGGGGGGATGTAACTCAGTACATTTACTCACTGACATTATTGTTCTTTACTTGAGTATTATAGAGCTGAGAATATTTTTGATCCTTTACGTAGGCTACATTAAGCTGCTGCAATTCATATATTATTCTGAAATTGACCATTGTGTAGAATGAGTACTTTACTTTGATGGTAATACTTTCATACTTTTACAAATTTGAATGATGGACCTTTACCTACAATGGAGTATTTTAGGACCATATGTTTCTAGTTTTACTTGAGAAAAGGATCTGAGTACTTCTTCCACCTCTGCTCTTTATAGACTATCATCAGTGTCCTTTATATTTCAAGTCTCACATTTACCTGACATTGTGTTCGTTAGGGTGTTAAATATTCTCAATCTAGAAAAATGTAAAAACTTATTTTCAACATTAACCTTTATAATTTCTCACTGTTATACTCCATTACCATAATGTTACATTCACTACAATGTTCAATCCATCTATCAAAAGACTAAAACAGGATTGTAGCTCTACTTACAATTCCACTCTCTCCTTTTTTCTTACATCTCAGAATCTACCTTGTGTTGTGGAAATATATATGCAGCTATTACTGACTGCAAGAGTTATACAAATGTTTTGTATTTGTCCCAACGTCAACATTTAGCAGATAATGGTAGATCGGTTGATTTTATTAGCCTCCTTCAGATAACCACAGAAGGCTTTGCATGTATATATTATTATTACTTACCTTAATGATACGGCAACTAACATTTTATTTCCAAACGTAAGTCTAAATGTCTGGCACAAATTCTGCCGGAGAAGTACGGAAGTTCTCAGTTATTTATTTTGTTGGCCTAAAAGTATTAACAGTACATTTATATGTGCCAAAAATATTCCCATGAGCACAGTGTGTGAGTGTTTCATTGTGTAAGGTTTCTTCTCATAGCAGACGACCATGGCGGAGCTGAGGCCCTGTTTGTGACCGAGCACAATAATTATATTTGTACATAATATCACCACAATGTACCCTGACTCTATACAGTCTGTCACAGATCATACAATATCATTAGTTACATTTTTATTTTCTATTTACAACCAATTTGTTATATAAATATAATACATCATTTTCAAAAAAAGCTGTCAAGTCAATGCATATAAGAGCTCGATCACAATATGGAGAGGTGGAACACACTGTAGAAAATCCACTGCGTGCTCATGGTAGTACAGAATGGGTGGGGGCGGTCAATAGTCAGGATGTCACACTCCTGTCACACTATGTAACCGCCTTTACTCTACTGCTCAGTTCCTCCTGCACACTTACACATGGCTTCTCCAGAGTGCAGTAGGTTTGTTGCATTAGTCCACAGAGTGTGGAGCCAGTAGAGCACGGAGGGTGGAGCTGTGTGTGTGGATGAGACCCGCACACACACAGTTACATGCAAGTGAAAGAGTCCAGAGAGCTCTATAATCTGTTTGGTATGAATACACATTTTCTTGTTTTAGTAATTGGTACAAACATTAATGCTTCCTGCTGCCCAGAATCAAAGAAGAAGAGTGGTTGGTGTGTTGGAGTAGTCCGGTGGGCTTGCTGCTCTTAGGCGCTGTTGATGATGATGAGGGCAGGACTGGCTGTCTGCTGACTCGTCTCACACATGGCGCCCTGGTCCGTCAGCTTGGCGAAGACTCGCGGCGTGTTGAGGTTGTAGACCCCGGGCTGCAGGAAGCAGGCCCGCAGGGTGAGGCACAGAACCTCCTGGGGCCTCAGCTGCAGGTGGTGCTGGGTCTGACCCACCCAGGTGAACGAGCTGTGCACCTCCACTGACTCGGGGCTGGAGAATAATGGGAATAATGACAACTTAGAAAACATGTTCAATTTGAACTACACTTTGTGAGGGATAATGAAACAGTGAGCCGCCATTATTGAAAAATGACAGACCCGACATCAATTGGGTCTGCTTTACATTATTCCAGCGTCTTAGTAAAGAAATCAATAGTTTGACAAAAAAATATATTTTTTTAATAATATATTTAACTGTGGGACTAATAAAGAATTTCTGATTCTGATAAACACGGCCCACTCCTTACCTGGCGCTTTTGTGCCGTAGGTCGATGATGACCTCCACCCGGGCCAGGGAGCAGTTGGACAGGGTGAGAGCGACGGGGACCACACAGAGGCTGCACACAGAGAGAAGACGCTTCACTCACAACATTCTAACAGACCTTCGATACGTTAGAGACAGCTTAGGCTTTATTCCAAGTAAGTGAGTATGATTTTTTCCAGAGCTGTATATTAATTAATCTAGGATTTGATTCAGCTTCCAGGCATGCGTGTGTTTGCACGTGTGTCTCACCTGTCCTGGACAAAGGGGTGTGTGTATGTCTCGGGGTAGTGTAGGTTGGTTTTGATGAGTTGGGAAAGCTCTGCAGCGGGCAGGATGACTGGAGGAGGAGCTTCTGATTTAAACTTGAGCAGCACCATCTCCTGAGTTTCCTGCTAAAGGAACACAACATTTTGGTTTTTATGGTCGCAGCCAATCAGCTTTCAAAGAACCTTGGCAAGTGAGATATGTGTCAACGGTTTCAATTCTGACCTCTTTGGGAGTGAGAGAAGTGGCCTCTTTGCCGATGGTCTGCAGCGCCACGTGGAGCTGGCCCTCTAGGATCAGCTGTTTGTTGTCCTCGACCACATAAGCCTACACACACACACACACACACACACACACACACAATGCTGTCAAATAAATATTAAAAAGGTCCAGAAAACAAACAAGTCCACTATTTTTTACCAGTATATTATAGGTCTCAGATATATACAAAACATGTCTCTGAAGTGTTTGGCTGAAATACCAAACAGATCATTGTAGCACCCCTCTGTTTCAGCCCCGTTTAAAAAAGGGCTGATTCTGTGTCTGTAGCTTTAAATGCTAATGAGCTGCTGCTGGCCACGCCCCTCTGAGCAGCTAGCACTGCAGCTTGTTGAAAAATCTGCTTGGTTGTTTTGCAAATAATATCTATTTATTTAATTAGGATGATATTTTGGGCTTTTTGTATTAATCACATAGTAGAATGAAAGATAGACAGGAAAGTTATATATATATATATGTATATGTATATATATATATATATACATATATATATATATATATACATATATATATATATATACATATATATATATATACATATATA